ATAGACACTCATTCCCAGATGTATGACTCCATCAAACATACAGCTAACAAGTATGACATAATAAAAAAATCGATATATATTTTTTTTCTTCTTTTTAACGAGACAATTAAAAGTTCCATGCTGTACGACAGTGTACCATTTGTTAGCGCTACGTCTGGCAACGAGGAGTTGCATCCGATGAAGATGTACGAGCTCACGGGACAGAATTAATTGCTGATAAATTCTCTTTTCTTTCCATGGCTTCTTTTGTGTTCATTATCATACTGATGTGTGAAATTTACGGTGATGTATACACACACACACACACACACACACACACACACACACACACACACACACACACACACACACACACACACATATATATATATATATATATATATATATATATATATATATATATGTGTGTGTGTGTGTGTGTGTGTGTGTGTGTGTGTGTGTGAATATATATGCATATGTATATATGTATGTTTATATATGTATATACATATATATATATATATATATAGATAGATAGATAGATAGATATAGATATATTACTGTACATGTAAGATATAATTATGTAGAATATAGTAATATGATATTGATATAGCTCGATTACATGGTACATATTTATGTGTCTGTGTTTGTATATATACCATTTGTATATATGTATAGAATATATATATATAATATATATACTATATATATACATATATATACATATTATATATATATATATATGTATATGCATATATATATATATGTATGTATGTATGTATGTATATACTGTACGTGTGTGCACACATATATATATTCTATACATATATACATGATATATATATACAGATATATACCATGTATATGTAATCCATCTATATCTACATCATATTACTATATTATACATAATTATATAATTTTACATGTTTGTCACATTCGTATCTCCACATATACTTATACTCGTACGTATATACATGCTGATTGTTGCTTTACCTGACTATCCATCTCTTCTTGCCATACTCGACATTCCTATGTTATGCTGTCTGCGTGTATGTGCGTATGCATGTGTGCTCAGTGCCGCATTATGCTGACTAGGCAGAAAGCTATGGGTCCACCAAAAGCTGGGACCCATGCTACCTTTCCTTTTCTAGTGTTAAATGTGACCACTATGGACATGGCAAACGCATCCTGCACGTCGCTGAAATTAATTTATTGGAATCCTCTTCGATGTAAGAGACGCTAAGGATGTAGGCTTGGATTATCCTAGCATAGGTTGCAGTCTGGGGTGTGGAGACCCCAAAGCTTAAGGAGCCTTGCTAAAAGATTTTCAATAGAGTAACATATATATATATATATATATATATATATATATATATATATATATATATTATGGAAAAAAGGATTATACGATATCAATCTCATACTGCCAGGTAATTAATTTACACTAAAGTAGAATTTCAATTTGAAAAGGAAGGCACGGGAGTCTGAAAGCCCAATTTTAAATACAGGACCCTTTTTTTCGTTGGAGCCCTTGTTTGAGGCCTTTTAAATGAGATAAATGGCACTTACATGAGGCCTATTTGAGATTAGCGACCCCAGCTTGGGGCCCTAGCTGTAAGTCTTAGTCCGTATTAAACGAGTGGCTCTGTTTAAAGAGGGCTCCATAATTTCATTACCTTAGGGGCCCCGAAAGGTCACTGGCCTGTGTATGCACCAACCGCGGTAATACCTGTAGATGGTGGATGAGCCGATCTAACAGGCCAGCACTAACAACAGGATTGTAGGAGGCAAATCAGTAAAACTTTTGCTCCTGTGGTGAATGTACGGCATTAGGCTTTCTTTTCTGCTGCGACAAATTCTTGCTATTATTTCACGTCCTATGGGTGACGTCGGACATACGAAAATATAAGTCAAAGTGTTCTATCGCTTGAACAAGACCAGCCCTCTCACACAAAACATCCGGTACCCCCATCGTTTACGTGTACAAGAAGTGATATGATTATTATGGTAATTGAGTTTTGAATGGCTCATCACGTGGTAGAATTCTCCCCCAAACGACTATTTTACTGAATTTGCAGAAGTTACTTTGATTGATTTCCAAATTCGTACCGTAGTATATCATTGTTAAATTATTATACACATATGGGTGATAACCATGTATAATGGTTAACATCACCATGTAAATATTATAACTTTATATAATGATATAACATGGTAGGAATGTGGAAATCAATCAAGTAACATGCAAATGCAGCAAAATAATTATTTTGGGGACAATTAAGATTTAACCCATGATTCTAGAGCATGTGATGTGGCATTGGGTGCAAGCCATTTAAGACTCAATTACCATAATCATCATACCATTTCTTGTATTCGGAAACGGCCGGATCAGGGAAGGGACGGCGTGTAGGTGGCGGCTGGCTTTGTTCAAGCGGTATGACACTCTGACTCGATGGGTCATCGTACGCCCGACAGCATCGATACCCTGCCCACACAACTTGAAATAATTGCAAGTATTTGGCGAAGCAGATAAAGTCTCTTATTGTTGCTGTTGGTGTATTTATCATTATCATTATTACTATTATAAATATACTCATCATTATTAGCCTTATTATTATGAATACACTAGAGAAGGACCACCTCTGATCCCTCGAATTATGGGCAAAAGGCTTGCACAGATGCAGCCCGAGTGACCAGAAAAAAAATCAAATTTAGGGGAATATTACTATTCATTTTCATCAACTATCGAAATGAAAACTTTTTTACATATATAATATAAAAACGATATTATTGGCTTGGCGGAAACAAAACAAATAATAATAATAATAATAATAATAATAAATAAATAATAATAATAAAATAAATAAAAAAAAATGAAAAATAAAAGAATTAAAAAAGACTACATTCATAACGTAAACTGCATCTTAACACAAGGACTTAAAAGATCTGAGTTCATTTCCTGATTAAAAATCCAAAGCATTTTTGGCACCAACATACAAAGCTATATCGAAATGTCCATCTTAAGACAGCATCCTCTAGAGAGACTATGTATTCACAACGGGGGACTTTCATGCTATAGTTGGCAGTCCCCATTCAGCTATTTAGTGTAGTGCGCCTTAAGAACATACACCGACAGGGGCCGCAGACTTGCTCATTCCCACTCTCAAAGCACACGACCTACGAAAAGTGCCGCCTTCACACTGATAACATTAAAACAACAGACTTTCATTCTTTTACAAACAGATACAGAACTCTTAATATCTCAATAACAACAGCCGCACTTAATGCAGCTATTAAATCCACCCCCAAACCCAAGGTCAAGAACAACTGAATGGATGATTGATAACAGCAGATTGGCAATTCAGAATGGAAGCTATCCGTAAGACATATACAAACCACATGCCGAATCTACGAAAGACAGAAAATAGTGAAAATAAATCAGTCAAACTCGGATCAAGTTGAGAAAAACAAAATAAATTCCACTTGAAAACAAATAGCCAATAATTAAGCTGGAGAATTATGAATAGCAATAACGAATGCTTACCAACCGTGATGATATCCTCGAATCTTAATTGTCTACCTTTCATTAAACATCATACAAAGATACCGAACAACACCCCACGATCAAGGTGTTTTTTTTTTCTGACACACATCCATTTACATTTGACGAGATCTAGTGGAAAATCGCTTTAGATTAATAAAAGTCCAGACCTTGATGTGATTCAATCTGAAATTCTGCAAGTTGGGCGAGACGTTGCCATCGAAGTCAATACAAACCAATTCAAGACGATAGCGTTCAAAGAAGCATTCATACTTATAAGGTTTCGAAAAAGAGACCATGCACATTTGCTAACTATAGACAAATAAGCAGTTACGCTTTACATACAAATAAATTTATTGATATCATATCTAATCATTTAGGAAATCACATCTCACCCCATGCACATTGCTTAACTATAGACAAATAAGCCAGTTACGCTTACAGTTACAAATAATTTATGATATTCTATATCTTAATCCNTCTTTTCATATTCTTCTTTTCTTCTCCTTATTTCTTCTTTTTCTTCATCTCTTTTTCTTCGTTCTATCTTCTTTCTTCCTTCTTCATTACTTCCTTTTCCTTTTTTCTTTTTTTCTTTTCCCTTTTTCATGTTTTCTTAATTCTTCTTCATTTATTTCCTCTCGTTTTTCTTCTTTCTTCTTATTCTTTTTTCTCTTTTTTTTCATATTCCTTTTTTCTTTTTTCTTTTTCTTATCTTTCATTTTCTTTCTTCCTTTCTCTTCTTTGTAATCTTCTCATTCTTTTCCTCTTCTCCTTTTCTTTCTTTCTTTCGTTTAAGTTGTTTACTTTCAGCATAATATAGAAAAAATAATCTTATTCCTCTTCTTTCTCATTTCTTCTCTTCTTCTCCTTTTCCTTTCCTCCTTTTTGCTTCCTTTTCTTCACTCCCCTCTTTGTCCTGCTCCTTTCTTCTTCTTCTTTCATTCTTTTTCTTCATCTACTTCGTTTTCT